AAAAATTAAACTCTACGGTTTTACTTGGCAGCAATAGGTTCTTGGTACCATTTAACGCTATCTTTGCTTATATGTTACTAGCAGCGTACGTGATAGTTTTCTTTAAATGATCTTAGAGCTTTTTCTCCAAATTCCATTCCGTAGTCTTTCTCTGGTACATTGGATTTAGCGCAGTGTAATTGCTAGCAGTTGCTCAAATCTTGCTTCTATAGAACAATAATATGTAATGTGCACTTAACAGCTGAATATTTCTATAAAAACACTGTCAAATTAAGGCTATTTTTTAAAATATACTTTTTAATCTCTTATTCCCACTTGAATTTTCATGCATACGACGTTTTATACAATCATGTCCTTTCAACATCCAACCTAACCTTCCTTTACCTTTTTTCCCCTTCGCGTGCAGTTTATCCGCCTTTTCTCTGTATGTTTACCGAACTATCATTCATCCCTACAGTGTTTTGTTTGCAGATTGGAGATGTCGTTGTAAGTATTGTTCCCTCTATCAACCATTTCGATGGAGGGACCTCCGCTTGTGTCTCGCCACTCGATTGATGATGATGACGTTCAGGGTAGGTTCGCTATCGTATAATGTTTATCTTTATATCCACTAACTTTTTCATATTCCCAAGAGTTCATTAAAAAACATGCATATTGGCATATTCCCTGAAAAATCTTAATTACCTTCTTTCTTTTCCTCTTGCTGATTTAATATATAATTTTCCATTTATTGATTGTGTCCTCGCCTTATTTGCATGTTTGCAGGTTTAGGTTATGGAGTTAATGATAGTGGGAGTGGACCGTTCTCTGCTGCTTTACTTGAGCCTAATGTACAAGATGTAATGAGCATGGAGTTGGCTCATCATGACATGGGTGGTAAGAAATCTTTATCTAATTCCGGCTTCTTTCCATTTCAACCTTGTCTTCGTTATTGTAATATACATGGAAGCTGTCATAAATGAATTTTTTCTCCTTGTTCGGAAGTTACTGTAAAGCCCTTGTAAGGTATATCTTACTGGTGACAGAAGTCGACTAAATTGGTCGAGTCAGCTATCTTAGAATTGAGCGATCAGATTTGGGACTTATGAAGAAAGAGCAATAATTTACTTTTTGCAGGTTATTTGGATCCAAGAAGCTTTGGTGGAGGTACATTAGGATTCGATGACTATAACAGTAAGTTCAGTTTTTTCTATATAATCCTTGATTTTGAGCACTTAATTTTTAGCTTCATCGTCTCTGTATGATGTGAATACCTCGTTTGGTGACGATATCACAAATGATCAAAAGGAGCTTTTTAACAATGACGCTGTACCTTTCAGTCAAGGTTGGAATTTTCTTAGCAAAACATTGGAATTACTTTAGGCGCATGAATTTCTCATAAGATCGATCACACTATCTCGGAATTCAGTAGATATGCCCTTTTTT